CTCCCATGTCTGGGCCCTTGTGGATGCCGGAGGCATCAGGGTGCCCTCGTCCCTTGGAATCAGTGTTTCTGTCCTTTGGGTAGCTACCCCGTGGTGCGACTGCTGGGTCATACGGTAGCTCTACCGTTCACTTGTTTTCCAGCCCGGACTCCGTTTCAAGGGGGCACATTTCTGGTTGGAGCTGGGACCTGGCCGACCTAGCACTTAGGGTCACCGCGCGCTAAGTGGGACTGTTATCCTGAAGGGAGAGACGGTGACTCTCTTGTGTCTCTATTTCAGGTTTGGGAGGACATCTGAGTCGACGCGTGTCCCACAGCCAACAAGCGCGCGGCGCACCCAGCGAGAACCCAGGTTCGCCAACCACACGCGCGGAGCCCTCTGTTGACCTGCTGCTCCACCGCGGCACGGAGGCCTGAAAAAAGCTGCCTCCTCGTCTGCACACCCCGAAAATGGATATTTTCCTTATCTTCTGTAGGGGCGAACAAGGACACTTTTGGCCAAATATTTCCTATAACGTTTACTCGTTCTCTGTTTTGGAACCGAGGTGTGTTTAGGGAAACGAGGGGATCGTGCAGTTGGCAAGCAGCTTCTCCAAAAGGCAGGAACAGAGTTTAGAATCGGAAGCCCGAGAACTGAGCATAGAAAGACACACTGAGTAATTCCTGACTTTGGTGTGTTTCCATGTGCGCGGTGTGGACTCTTTCTTTCGTTATCAAGCTACGTTTCTTGATTCATGGAAATACGAGGCTTGTGCACCTCTAAGCGGAGAGTCGAGTATCTTCCTTCCATCTTCCGTAGGTTTATCAGCTGTAAGGCAACGTGAAGAGTAGTTCAATAAACTTTTCTTCATGACTTTTCCTTTTTAAAATTTCAAATGAGGAAAAAAGGATAAAAAACACATTTTTTGTTTGAATTTTTAAAATTCAGTAACATCTATTTCAGAGACAAATCTACAAGCTAAAGGTCTCACCTTTTCAGGTGTGACGTTCTTTTCCAGGAACTCCTTTGTCAGCATGTGTGCATAAACACTTTCAAATTTCTGTGAAAACTTTGACCCCAAAAGGGCCAACGTGCGGTGTTACTAGACGCCACCGAGCGAAGCGAGAGTCGTTTCCTTGACAAACCGCGGGGACATCTCTGGGAGCAGAACATCCGCGATCTGTGTCTGAGTGTCGGCAGTGGGTCAGCTCAGCCCCGAGTCCAGCCCCAGAAGAGAAACAGAAAGTAGAACAGAAGAGCCCCGACTCGTGTTTCACGCAAAGCCCCTGACACGACGAGGCCATTACCTGCAGCCAGTACGTCCGTGTCCTTCTGAGACGCGGCACGGGGCTGGGCGTCCACACTCCTGAGCACGGGCCCCACGGGCATGACCCATGGGAGCCACCCGCCGCCTCTGTGCCCCTGTCCTGACCGCACGCCCCCTCCGCCCCCTCCAGCAGTGGGTGCCCCTCGCTGCATGGCAACCCCGATCCCTCCACAAATCTTTGCTGAATGAAGGAATCCAGTGCGTTTGCCTCGAACGTCCACGTTCCGCGCGCGGAAGCCACCAGGGAGCCTGGCTCGGGTCTCCTCACATCGCGCACAGAGCGGGCCCCTAGGCGACGTGGTATCGTCGGAAACCCGCGCGGGGCTCGCTCACCCGGGCTGTACCTGTCGAGAGCCTCACGGAGTTTTCACCAGGCGTTTCCGTCCGTGCTCTTCCTGCGAGCCTGTGGCTCCGGCCCCGACAGTCGGCCTGCCGAGCTGGGGCTTGACCACCCGGTGCCTCTCGGACACGGAGAACTCGTGGCCCATGGCTCGCTCACGTCCGTCAGGACCTTTACTCCGACAGAACAAGCTCGTTGTCAACAGCCTCACCCTGGCCGTCCGCACGGCTGCGTGTTCCTGCGCGCGCGTGTGGAGGTCGTGCGTGGACCCGGGAGGCACGTGGTTTGCGGGGCGAGAGTGGACAGTGGCCCTGGGCTGGATGCGTCCGGCCTCACAGGGTTTACGGAGGGCCCTCCCCTGCCCAGGGGGGCCCGGGATGGGGGCTCAGGGCCGTTCATCTCCGTACCTGGAAAACGCGGCGGCCAGTTCTCTCAGGGTCAAGCCTCGCTCGCTGTGAAGTCCGGGCCGGCCCGGTGCTCTATCCCGTGTGCACTCCGCAGCTGTGACGCCCGACGGCGGCATTCCACGGCAGCGCAGGGGACCCCCTGCCAGCACAGATGTCCGGCCACGTTGTTGTGATTATACCTGAGACTAAGGTGACATCGTGTGTCAGCTGTGTCCCGGTGAAAAGTAAATACTAGAAAAATCCATCATCCCCCTGTCAAACCAGGAGAAAACACAGTCTGGATCCAGAGCTGAATAAATCGTTCGAATTCCAAAACCCGACTTCCAAAACCCATCCAAAACCCGTCCTGTTGAACGCATGGAGGGTGGGTCATGGGCCGTCTCCTCTGGTTCTCTTGCTCCGAGCTCGTGTAGAGTGAGATGGTAACGATCAGAATGGCAGGAGCCGCCAGGTCCCACCTGCTTGGAAGGACCCAGCCTCCTCCCTGCGCTCGACCAGAGGGCCGTGCCGTCGCCCAGCGTCAGCAGGGGATTAAGACGGGTTCTCCTTGCAGACCCCACCAAACCACAGGCCTTCGGAGTCGCTTCCCACACGTTGTCCACAGGACAGAGAAGTAGGACCGGGGCCGCGGGATCCACGACACGTCCCGGATGTCCACTTCAGTCCTGGCAGGCGTCAGGAGTCTGCTGGTTCTGAAAGGCCTCCACGGTGGGAACCACCGCGTGTCCACACACATGGAGCTCCACTGCGGACAGCGAGAGGCTGTCAGAAACGTGCTTGTGTGGCTGGGCCACGCATTTCAACTCAGAGACCAAACGCAGCCCGATCCCCTGCTTCGATGTGGAAATGCTGGGGCTCAGGAGGACAGTCCGGCCCGGAGACGAGAAAAGTGAAGTTTATGGGAATCCTGTAGAGCTGTTCCCGATGTTCAGAATCACTCCCTTTAGCGGGGGGGTGGGGGGAGGGGGTCCGCAGGGCACCCTGCCTGCCACCCTGTCCCCGCACCGAGCTCGGCTCTCTCACGTCTGGTTCCCCCCGTGGCTCCTCCAGCGCCAGGACCAGCCCAGCCTCAGACCTGGGCAGAAGCTCGGCAGCCAGTTTCCTCACCTACACGGTGAGAACAAAGATGCATCTACGCCAGGTAGGACGTGAGCTGAAAGGGGTTCCATGGGCCCAGCCCTCAGCACAGTCTCCATCATCAGTGAGTTTCCAATCAGAGATCTGCGGAGGGTCCTACTGACGCTTAATTAAAATGCAAAACTGAGATTTTAGGATTAACCACATCTCCTGACTGAAAATAAAATAATTTCTGACCCAGCACCCTGAGACCCTGGTAGGAGACACCGTCCATGCCCCTGACAAGCCCTGCTTCCGAGCTGGGGCAGTGAGTGTCATTTTACCCGCCTGCCCTGCCCCGGTCTGCAGGGGGGTCTGAGGGGTGCAGCCTGACCCGTGGGGGCAGGATAGGTGCCGCAGGAGTGCAAGGGGAAGGACGAGGGGCGCGTGGCCACTGTTCACTTCATACAAAAAGACTCTTGCTGTTTTTTAATTAAAAAAAAGTTGTGTATCTTTTCAAAAAATTGTATGTATACAAATGTAAACTTTAGTATCGAATCTTCCTGTGGAAATATTATTGTTTTCATTATGATCTAGTAAAAGTACGCTTCTAAAATCTACAGTTTCATGAAAATAAACAAATAATCATGATCTCTCTTGAGTCGGGAAGAAGGCCTCCTACGGAGTGAGTTAGGCTCTTTGGCATAACACGTGACGAAACTGAGAGCCCACGAGATCCGGAGAGACATCAGCCGCACCCGGAGACGCTGGCAAAGCCGGGGTTCACCAGCCTGGGGTCTGGGGGTCAGCTCTGCTCCCGCGGCCGCTCACCCCGACGTGGACGGGGCGTGTGCTTCAAGGCGGGAGGACAGACTGCCCCAGAGGACGCCGCCGCCGGACGCTGTGTGAGCCCCCTTCTCTCGGAACACGGGTCAAAGCCCTCGCTCTGCCGGGGTAGCCTTCCGCAGAAGCCGGGCCCGCGTGAGCAGGAATTCCGTGGACCCCGCGCACTGCACCCACGCTACCTGCAGACGCCCTCTCCATATCACTGTGTCTGACGAGTGATCATCAGCACTTGATATGCTCCAAACCCAAGCACCCGACAGACCGCCGAGGGCTGGGCGGGCCGTAGGGGACGGGCGGTCGTCGCCAAAGCCGGCCCCGGAGGGACGCTGGGCGGTCGGCGCCGTGCGCCTGCTTTCCCGCAGGAACCTTCTGCCTGGTCCCCTGAACCGGTCAGTCTGAGGGTCGTGCGCCTCCTGTCCTCGCACGTGTCCACGTGAGACATGAGGACGTGATCTAGGACCACAGTCTGCCTCCGCGCGATTCGGGAGTCCATGAGTCGCTTTTAATGACAAAAACAGAAAGAGGACCTTCTTAGAAGTGGCAAACAGTACAGAAACCCGGGAAACTACAACAAAGGCAGTATTTCATGAATTAGGAAAGTCATTTAAATTAGCACTTAAATGATGTGTTATTTAATTTTATAATAATTCATAAAATTTCAGGATTAAAATTAAGTAATTAAAATTATTTTTCTTTCCAACCTATTTCTCCTACTCATTTCTCAAATCAACACCTTACTGAGCCCCGCCCTCGAGAAAAAGGGGACATTAATGACCCAGTGCTGATGAAACACTTTCCTTGCACAGGAGACTCCAAGCGACGGGCTCTCCTGGTCTTACTGCATGTTTCATGGGAACGCGGCCCGGCTATCAGCAATGCGGGAGGCGGAGCGTGTGGTGCGGCGTCCGCTTTCAGGGCTTGGAGAGTCCCCAGTGGCCCGCCGGTCTGCCTGAGCAGCGCCCCGGCCTGTCAGCTCTACAAATGACCCGTCTCTGCAAACTGGTGACGTATTTTATTGGTATCACAACTATAGGCTCGTTATAAGTCACAGAGTTGCAACATTGGCAGGAAAAAGTCCTTTCTTAAGAAAATAATTAATGTTCAGGGTCAACAGAAGCACTTTCCTTGCGATGCTCTGGCTGTCCATGAATGTGGGGTCCACGGAGGCCACCTTGGCTGCTAGGAAGGCATGAACGCAGTGCAGGACGGCCGTCAGGTCTGCGAATTCGAGTTCCTGCAAGGAAAAGTAAAATAAAATGCTGTGAATCTTAGAAAAGCATATTATGAAACATTTAGTGGATTCTATGCTTTTTGAGCTCCAAGAAAGTCACTCAGGTACAAATACCCTCCAAGTAGGAAGGTTTAACGTGAGAGGCGGGGTCCTGTGGTCAACATGACCATAGCCACGAAGATCCTGGTTTGCGTGGACACCGACTGGCTGGCCTGACCCTGTAATCTCCCGTCTCCCAGGGGTAATGACCTCCCAGAGGTAACTCCGTCTGTGTGGGGCCAGGGGTCCCCTACCTCAGCCCCAGCCCACTGACTCCGGCCGGGTGGCGTCCCGGGGAGCCTGTGATGTGGAGCTCATGCCACAGACAGTCTTCCCGCTCCCTGCACACCCCACACGAGTGCCCACGACGCATCTGCGAGGAGGTGGGTGCAGACCCGCCGCTGACGCGGATGGGAGCAGACGCCGGGTCCTCGGTGTCCTGACGTGCCTGACGGTGAGCTGTGACTCCTGCCCGGCCGCCACCCCGCTCGACCCATGGGGAAGGAGCCTCACATCTTACTGTTTCTTTCTTTTCTACTCTGGCATAATAAAACTCCAAAATAGTTCAAACCACCAGAATTCCTTTTAAGAGAACTGCTACCTAACTGATAGCTTAACGACACTTTGTGCAAACTGCCTTGTGCTCTGAGTTGTTGCGCGAACGTCAGGAGAGCTGTGTCGCGACGGCAAGGACAGCCAGCTGGCTCGTCTCGTCCCCGGTGTGCTCCTTTCCACTCCTGTAAGGGCAGGATCTCTGATATTTTAATTTGGGGGCAGGACCTCTGGGCCAGGGCAGAGCACACTCGCCCCCTGCCCTGCCCCCCGACATCCTGCCCCAACACCCACCTCAGCTCTTCCCTTGGTGATTCGAGATCTGACATCTCAAAATTGGCTTCACGTTTCCCTTAAGCAGGACAACTACCTCGGTCGCCTCCTGAGACTGTGTAGGCGTAAGACTTCTTTCTGGAAGCTGCTCCTTTTGTGGGATGGGGACAGGTGGGCAGGTGGGCAGCCAGCGTCCTGGGGAGGCTGACGTGGACCCTGGGAGCTGGGGCAGGTGTCCACGCAGGCGTGTCGGGGGTGGGGACAGCGGCTCTGCCAGCACACACAGAGTCAGCAGGAAGGCGCATCTGGCACAGAGGACACCTGCTCACAGAGGGGCGGACGGGGGACCCTGCGTGACCTCGGTCCCTGTGCTCCGAGCCACCCCGATGCCAGGTACAGGAACCACGGGCCCCCTTTACTGTGTTCCACCTTGAATTAAGTTCCTCTCTCGCATGACAACGGATCTCGACTGTGACAGCTGCAGGATGGACTGACTGTTGGTGGCTGGTCACTGTTCATTTTTGCATTTTCTGAGTCATGAGCAAAATATTCCAGCAGCTGAGGTGCGTGCTCCTACGGAAGTGTCCTAACAGTCACACGGTTGCTGCCGCATCACCTTACCCGGCGGCCCTCCTGTCCCCGGCAGGACCCAGGAGCTGCCCAGACCCCATGCCCGAAGTCAAGGAAAGCTGACCCCCCGGTTGTGCCCACACCCGGACAACGGCGTTGAAACCCAGGACCGACTTCACGCCCCGAGTCCATCTTTTCCAGACGCTGAGGGAGGCCCCTGAGAGCAGCTGACTAACACGGTCGGTCCAGGCCGAGACCGAGGGCTGTGTGGGGCAGCCGGCTTCTCGCCGCGGGTCCCCGCGAGGCCCTCTGGGCGACATGTGTGCAGCCGGGCCCCGGGGGGCCAGGGACTGTGACACCGCCCGCTGGGCGAGGAAGGCCTGACACAGAGACTTCCCCACGCGGGGCGAGAGAGACGTGGGAAGTGCCGGGAGCCCCTAGAGCAGCACTTCCCCGAACCGTCAGATGGTGACGGGCGCCGCGGGGTAGTTCTCTGCTCACCGTTCAGAGACAGATTAAGAAGGCGCGGGTCACGGGGGCTCCGGGCACCCCTAAGGGGTCAGTCGCGTTGTCTCCCTCTGAGCACGACGTCGGCAGCTTTGTCCCTCGAACTGGCCTGACTCTGCGGGGACGGCGCGGCTTGGAGGCCCACTCGGCTGGTGAACGTGTGAGGGACGTGGTCCGTCCGTACAGCGAGCACCATCCGCCCGAGGAAGGAAGGGATCCCGCAGGGACGAGCGCTGGGATTCGGTGCTGGGCGGACTGAGCCCGTCCCGGAGGCACGGCCTGTACGGTCCCGCCACGAGGCACCGAGACCCACAAGCTCCAGACAGGAGGGAACGCGGCCCGCACGCCGTCCCCCCACAACCACGACTGCAACAGCGCGTGGGGCTTACGGCGTCCAGAGGGCACACCCGCTTCTGGGAGGAGGAGGCCTCTCCGCCCGCGGTCTGATCCCGCCGTGAGCTCACCCTCGAAACCCACACCTTCACGGGTTCTCTTCTCGCGTGTGCTCTAGTCGCGCCCTTCCACAGCGCACAGCCGCGCCGGTGGAGGCGCCGTGGCCCTTACGAACCAGAAGGCTGAGGGCTGGGGAGCGGGCCACGCGCCCCCGGGGACAGACACGCCTGCCTCCCACCCCTGCCCATCTCCTGCCCCCACGCCCGGCCCCTTTCTTCCTCAGCAGCACGTGTGTGCTGATGACCTCGGTCTGCATAAAACGTTTTTAAAAAATCTCGAGGTGGCCAAGATGACGACTGGGAACATGAGTCGCGGCTTGCACAATTACCAACTTTCCCGTGTTTTAGGACCTGGAACTTTCCCGTAACGAAGTAGAGACCCCTGAGCATCATGCCGGGCTCCTCAAAGACTTGAGTAACGAGGTCACCCAGACTTGAGCAAACGTTCCTTCGTCCTCTGCCCTGGCTCAGGTCTGCGGCATCGGTCTCTAGAGTGACACCTCCAACCAGCGTGTCGATGTTGAAATCCCCCGTGTGTCCAGGGCAAGTCTCCGGCAGAAACCCCATCTCCACCGCAGCCCGCCTCGGCGCACCAGCTGCCTGGGATTGGTCAGGACACGTCTGAGCGGATGGACCTCCCTTCTGTGAGCGCTGGCCCGTCGCGGGGACCAGTTCCCGACTGTCCCGGGGGCTCTGTGGATGGAGCACGAACCGGGAGACAGGTGACAGCGCTCCTGGGGAAAAGGGTCAGGACCTGCACAAAGGTGGTGACAGCCGGCAGACGCTGGGGGCAGACACCACAGAGGTCCTGGTGAGCGGTCACCGGGCAGAGCGAGGGAAAACCAAGATTCCAAATGCCTGAGAGGGCAGCTGACGGCTGGAAGGAGGGAGTCTCCCTGAGACCGTGCTTCCCCAGGACGACAGGGGCGTAGGAGGGGACAATCCGGCCTGTCCGCCATCCGGTCAGATGGAGACCCCTTCTGGTGTCCTCCTGAGGCCCGCGGCTGACCGCCCAAGACCTGGAGTCTACCGGACTGTCCCCGCCCTCGCCGTCCAGTGCAGGCCACTCGCTAGGCTCTTGCTCTGCCTTCCTGGGAGAAAGCATCGGACGCTGCCGCGCCAGGGTCACCACGGCTCTCGCTCCGTTGGCCGGCTCACGTGTGAACACCCGTCCTGCTCAGCAAATGACGCGGTTAGAGCGTCACGAGTCTTACTGACGTAGAAGCTCAGTGGTGGCGCCTCGCCGGGACGCTATCAAGTCCGACTTCCCCACACAACCCTGCGCCGTCTGCCTGTGGCCTCTCCCCAGGCTCACAGTCTTCAAGCCGAGTGCCTGGTGCCCAGCACCGTTGGCACGAGGTGCGGGTCTGGAGCCACGGCAGCTCCGGACACATGGTCCCCGCCTGCAGGAGGCTGCCGGGGTCCCGGGCCTTCTCTCTGCTCCGGCCAACATTTTACTGGAAAATTCCACGTCCCAACGAAGAGACACACCTCCCACACAGGGACGTCCGCAGAGGCGATTTCCGAGGGACAAGGGTCCCCTCGCTCCACAGTCGGTACTAAGAATCCGACGCAGATGCGACCGCATGAGAACACTGGGGAAAACATGCTCCCCTCGCCTGGGCCCCCCAGTAACTGACCAACACGTGGGAGCCAGACGTTGCCTCGTGTCCACCTCAGAAGGGTGGGGACACCGCTGCCTGGCCAGGTGGCCCCCGTGGGCCTGGGGCCCTCCCACCTGAGAAAATCCCGCCTCACGGCCCCGGCTGCCTTTCTCTGCCAACGTCCATCGTGCATCTCCATGAGAGAATCCTCGGTCCTCACTCAGGTCTGTGTGGCAGGAAGGACTGTGAGTGGGCACTTTGGGACGCCGTCCCTGCCAGTGATCCTGCCTCTCTCTCTGTCACTGAGCTTGGGAACAAGCCGTGGACGAGGAGGGAATGGCCGGTGAGGAGGAGAGGGTCCGAGCAGGGAGCTTCATCTGGGACGCCTGACCGACGCCGCCATGTGCCCGGTGTTCACGCATTAAGCCCCCACTCGGTCTTCCAGAAGATTCTGAAATGCAGTTTCTGCCAAGCCTGTGCCGTTAGCCAGCATCGGGCTGGATCTCGGCAGGACGGCTATGGATTGTGAGTGGGGGGCCCGCTGTCCCCCACCCGGGGTCCTGCCCATTCGCCTCACGTTCCGGGCCGGCCCATCACTCCCTCCTTCCCGGGCACTTGCTCTCGGGTGGACAAGGGCCGTGGTCACAGGGGAGTCCTGTGCAACTCATGCCCACCCCCTCTGACCGAGGAAACGCCTCTTGCCTCCGGCGCTCACCTGCCCAACCTCAGGGCCACCAGGGCCACCAGGTTTGTCCTTTCTCTAAATCAGGAGGTGCAGGCCCGGGTTCAGACACCCTGAGGTCATGACCTGTGACGAAAGCCAGGGTCAGCCGCTTCCCCGACGGACGGCCCCACCTCCGTGCACTGTTGAGCGAGCGTGGCTGAGGAATGTGATTTTTAGTAGAATCCGTTAACGTGCTTCCGTGACCCCGGTCCTAGCTGTAAGCCCCGCTACCGGTCACAGTTCCCGGGCTTTTCGGACGTCCAACCATCAGGGCTGAGGGGGTCGCCGGCCACGGGGGACAGAAACCTCCTCTGCCGGTCGTGTGTCACCTGCGTGCGGCTGATGGCCGCGCGGACTCGCCTACCTTCACGTCTATCTGCCCGCTGTCCGGGCGCTGGAAGAGCGGCTTCAGTCGATTGCGTCCGTCGTCCGAAGACCCCTTCAGCTGAGAGAACTTGAACCTCCAGCGCACGTCCCGCGGGACAACGAGGCCGGTCGGGGACACGGAACATGAGCTCACGCACATTGTTCATCTACTCTTGGACGATTCTGCTTCAAAAAAGGCCAACGTTTGCCTCATTTTCCGTCGAACCTGAGCACGTGGTAAGCGCGTCCACCTCCCCCTCCTTCGGTCTGCGTGAGGCGACCCCCAGGCTGCGTCCTCTGCGTGCCTGCGCCGGCTCCAGGGTGCCGTGGTGCCGGGCCCGAGCAGGCCACAGGCTTCCAGCTGCCCACCCGCCCTGCCGGGCTTTCTCCTCCCTGTATGTGGCTGCCCGTCCGACGATCACGGCCCCGTCCACTGCCTGTAAGACGTCTCACCCGCGAGGAGGCCCACTGCTGGCTCCAGAGCACGCGACTCTGTCCCCGGTGCCGACAGAGGAGAACCTGCGTTCCCACCGACAGGCCCCACCTGGGGCTCGTCCAAGTCACCCCACGCCCGTGTCCCCCGCACTGAGGAGAGAAAGCGGCCACGACCCCTTTGTGCCACCACAAACCCCACGCGCTGCTTACTAGGCACCTCAGAGATGAAACGTGGCTCCTAAATTCTCAGAGTTTCATTAAAAAAATAGAGTCTGCCGCAAGTTAAGACTCGGGGGCTTTTCTCAAAGTGAGTCTGAGATCAGACGCGTGGGGAGAAACGTCTTCGTCCCCGGAAGAGCTGGCGCCAGCTGCGGCTGCGTTTCTAGGAAATCAAGCTGCTTGTGTTGAAATAATGAAGTTTCTCTAAGTGCCGCAAGAGGAAAAGAGGCAGCGGAGGGACGGGGGGATTCAAAGGCAGGTCTGCCCTGTGACCCCTGACCCCTGGCCCTAGTGACCTCAGGGTCTTGCCATTCTGTGACTTTGAATCCAGTCCCCGTGTTTCGGGTCAAAGTGTCTGAACAGGCTCCATCGGGGCCTTTCATTCCAGGCTGAGGACGGTGGGTCTACCCGGGCCGCGGCGTGGCTGGGCGTCCTCGCTCCCGGCCAGCGGCTCCTCGTGCTGGGACTGGGAGGTTCTGCCCAGAACTCACACAGCCGGCGCCGCTTCCTCGGGGCCAGCCCCCGCCCACTGCCACCGGCCACTGAGCAGCGCACAGCGCAGTTAACCAGCAGGCGCACTGAGGACCGCGAGCAGGGTGCTGGGCGAGCGGCCGGCCCCGGGCTCCTGTGCCTGCCTGGCGTGCCCACCACTGGGGCTCAGACCCAACAGCCCGAGACTTGTCTGCTGGGACGCTAGCCCTCCCCAGCGCTACACGGGAACCTGTCACCGAGGGAAGTCAGGGCCGTGGCTGCGTCGTGGTTCCGCCAGGGTCCTTGGCAAGGCCCCGCCGGCTCCGTGAACGGTAAACCACCCGTGGCTCAAGTCGGACGCGAGGAAGAGCCTGACGGCGGTCGGCTGTCATCAGATAACACGCAGGAGTCACCTCGGGACTGACGGCTACGAGGGCGCTGCTGGGCCCACGGCCGGCCGGGCTGTGCTGGAGAATCCAGTCCGCCCCTCTGACACGTGACCGTGCGTGTCCCTGGGGCCCTGTTCGGGCCTGCCGGGCACCTGACCTTCGTCTTCCCGTCAGAACAGGTGAAACCCCATGCGAGATCGACCGTGAAGCACAGAGCCTCTCCTCCGCAGCTGCACGCGTACGCTCTGGCCTGGAAAAGAGCATTCGTGTGGAGAGAACATTCCTTAGCACAGGGTCCAACGTGAGCCGGGGGCTGCCAGTGTCCCCCGTGGTCGGAAACCAGGTTTGCAAAAGTCCTGACGTTTTGCCCACGGGCAGCACTTCCCGGCTTGCTGTCTGCGGGCAAACGTTTCCCACCGCACAGGAGCTGGACGCGGGCCCGGTGCCGCTCTCACCGCAAACCAGCAGCCAGGCCCAGCACGTCCCCAGTGAGAAGCAGTTTCGGAAACAACGGGATTCCTGGTTCCACTTGCCAACGTGCTGGGAAGGACCGGGGTGGGGCGCGCTCCCGGCTCTCCCTGTGCACGGCCCGTAGGACAGAAGGCCGGGGCCGCGGGCCTGTCCCTGGGACGCCGGACGTGCTTTGGGGAGACGAGATCCTAAAGTGAAGCAGCGCTGAACCCCAGGACGACCTCGCCGGGGACAGGCTGAGCCGCGCAGCTCCCGGCCACCCGCTGGACACCGGTTTGGGGGGTCCCCCTGCCGAGAAACTCACCAGGAACGCCTCATCTGCTGGGCGGGGACACATGGACGCTCGGGACCGGCCTTCCCTCTTGTGCGCACAGCCCCCCACACGCACACACACGTGGGCACACACGCGTGTACACACAACCACGCACGCGGGCACGGAAGCGCAGAGGTCCGTCGTCGGCACCCGCACGCTCGGCAGAAGGACCGAATTCGGGAAGGGACGCCGCAGTGTGTTGGGAAGTGCCGCTTCCCTCAGCCCGCGTTGGCAGCCTGCAGGCCCGGCCCTCAGCCTCGTGCTCGGGCAGGAGAACGCCATGGATGCCGCCTTCCGTCCGCCAAATCGGGGCTTTCCACCAGGATCCCCTCTGGACTTTCCGGGGTCCCCCTCAGCGGGAAGGTGGCTCCCTCAGCCCCGCACGCAGCTGCGTCCCGAGGTGGCCCCTCCGTGCTCCGTCCCACGTCCCGCTCGGCTATGGAACCGTTTCCTCGTCAGGACGACCCTCGTCTCGAACGGCGTCACGTCATCCTTGTGTGGCTTCAGATGGCTGCGCCGAGGTTCTCTGTCTTTCCCTGGGTTCCGTGTGTCTGGCTTTGCCTCCTCTGGAAGCGCGTCGCCCACGGCCGCCGGAACACGGTCCTCAGATCCCGGCCGCCCCCGTCGCCGTGGGGGCAGCTGCTGTCTGTTCACTCTGGCTGTGACCCTCCCGGTCACTGAAGCTGGAGATTTTTCTGTTCTGAGGTCCTTGAGCTCCGTTGACTCGTTTTACCTGAATTTCTCTGAACATCTCTGGGGGAGGGGCTGTCCCGGACCGGCCGGGCCGGCGAAGTCCAGGTCCCCCTCTGGGCGTCAGACCCTCACCGCTGACAGACCGGACGGGAGTGCCAGGCCTGCGACGTGGTCCCTGCTTCTGCTCCTGCTGCTGAGCGGGGGAGACTCCTGACACCACCCGGGGGGAGGGTCTCATTCCTGCCTGGGGGGACGGACGTCCTGACACGGGCGCTCTCGTGGCTTCCCCGTAACCGGCTCTGTCCCCCAGACTCCCTCGCGCAGCTCACCGTGGGAGGACCCCGGCTGGAGCCCCTGGAGCACTGGCTGCACGGTGCCGGCTGGGAAATGGCCGGATTCTGTGGAAAGCACACTGGTGTCCACTGCGTGTGCTCTGAGTGGTGACTAGACGCCCAGCACACGTGACATGTTGAAATGTCCCAGACCCGTTCTCAGAGCGAGCCTTGGAGACAGCGGGACTCTCGTCCCCGGGAAGACGGCCACACCCAGGCTCAGGCAAGCAGGCACGTCTGCACGCATCACCCACCCCTGTGGGAGGAGAGGCCGCTGCGGTCAGCCCCAGGCAGCCCCAGGGCGCCGCAAGGGCAGAGCGGCGCAGGGCACTTGGCCAGCGTCCCGTGAGGCCCGGCATCCCGCTCCCTTCCCTGCAGCAGAGCCTGTGGGCCACGCTCAGAGGTTCCGAGTCCGGGATCCAGAGCTCCCTTTAGCCTCGCTGCCGCGCCCCGGGGCCACTTCCCTCGTCACATCGGTATTTTGTGCCTCTCGATTATATTCTAAGCGTAACTTGGAAAGTAGGTGCATACGTTCGTGGTAAGGGCACCTGTGTGAGGAAAGGGAGCTCAACACAACCACCACCAACAACCAGGACGTGCTGACACCTGTTCTCGCTGCCCCCCGCGTCGGTCATGGGACATCCACAGGGGAGTGGCCGGAGGACGTCCGGTGAGTGACGTGCCGAAGGCGGGAGGCCCACGCTGAGGCACGCTGGGCCAGGGTCTGCACACGCAGAAGCCGGCAACTTGCGCTGGGTGGACCTGGGGACATCATAACCGAAGAGGTTCACGAAGTCCGGCTTGAAGGCTGGCGCTTTAAATACACTGGCGCGTTCCGGCTTCAACACGAGCAGTAGCGCCTGCTCACATCGGTCACGTCCCCAGCCTAGAGGGAGGCGGTCGTTGGATCAACACTGAGCTGAACACGGGCTCTGGTGTATGTAGTAACGATGCCATGCCGGTACCCGTAGTGACGATGCTGCGCAGGTACCCGTAGTGACGATGTCACACCAGTGACTAGTGGAAACGTGTCTGTAACATCTGCACACCCGCAGGGGGTCCCGAAACGATGTTTGCACGCGCTCTCTCTGGAGGGGAGAACAGCATACTCCCTTCTCACGTCCGGGGAAAGGTCTGTGGGACGGCTGACCTCTCCTCTCGTCCTCGGCAGGCACTGGTCAATGCACCTGTGTAATACCTCATGCATTTCTGGTGACGGGGGAACAAGCAAACCAGAAGTCAATATACAGACTTTCAGAGTCTGGAAAATGGTTTCCTTTAGAGAACAGCAGCCGCGCGCTGAGCTGCGAGGCACTTCCCATACTCCACGCCTGAGGGAGGGTCTCAGAGTCCTGCAGGCGGTGGGAGCGCAGCCAACGGGGGGGCAGGTCTGATAACTTCCCGTCTCTCTCCCCGGAGCCTGACTCTGCTCTTCCGGCGTCGCCCAGCTGGGCCCCCGGCCTGTGGTCAGCGTTTCCCGCAGTCCGTTCTGAGATGTGACCGTGCAGGACGCTTGGGCCCAGGCATGCGTCTCACTGTTCCTGGCAGCCCCGGGCCGGGCGTGTGTGCGGCGCGCGGGGATCCCGGGTCCCTGTCACATACACGGTGGCCGTGTCACACGTGTCACATGTGTGTGTATGCAGCACGGGCCTCGGCAGGGGCCTGACGTAGCTCAGGAACACCCGTGACTGCCCAGAGAGCACTGGGGATTAACGGGTTTCATGTGTCCTTCCCAGGCGGGAACACTGGGCCTCGGAGAGTCCGTGCCGGTTCCCCAGGGTCATGGCTGGTCCGGGCACGGACTCCAACACTGGTGCTCCTGACGTTAAACGGAAATTTACCTTCCTCCCAGGACAGGATGTGGACTCCTATGCCATCTCCCTGCTTGGCTTTCCCAGCGAGCACCGGTCACCCGCAGTCCTGGGGCTCACCAGCTGTTTTGGGTCGTCTTCTCTGAGGGACGGGCGGCCACGGCCCGTGTCAACACACTTACCCGGTGCCGCCTCTCCTTGTCCCCGTCATCCCTGAGACGTGAAGCAGGTGCATCCCCCGCATCCCTTCTTCCACTCCCCAGACCCTTGCTGTCCGCGTGAGGACACGTGTGCACCGCACGCACACACAGGCCGGCTGCCGTCAAACACAGACGTGCACTCGGATACGAGGACGGAGCCGACACCCTGAGTGGGCCAGACGCCATGGCGGGGTTGCAGATGCAGGCCCCCAGCACCGGTGGACAAGCTTGCTCAGGCGGCGAGAGGGACGCTGTGGGTGGCATGGAGGAGGGACCCTGTGACACAGGGAGATCCTGGCTCGCTCTCACCAGGCTGCTGGAGTCCCGGAAGTGGAGGGCTCCCCCCGCCTGGTTGGAGAGCCGGGCCTTGGAGGAAGGGCCCCAGAGTGTGCCCGGCTCTGAGGACGGGGCCGGGCACATGCTGGTCCCTGCACTGGCGGTGGATGGCCCTGGGCCTCCAGAGGGAGGAGCCGTGTTAGCCGCTGGATCTGAGCCCTGAGAGACCCCCGTCGGGCTGGGGAACGGTCACCCCACTGAGGCTGTGGGCTCTGTCTCTGCCACACGGACCTGATACAAACACACGGCAGGTGTCTAGCCGCATGTCACTGGATGCTTCCGCGTCTGATTTTTCTGTGACTTTCAGCAAATTGACCACCTTCTCCTCTCCCAAGTTCAGCTGAAAATAAACTGTTTTCTCGGCCTCATCCTTGAACAGACGTGTTCTGCGTCATCTCACACCACCTTTCCCAAACCGTCTCTCAGGAGCCGTACTCTGCGAGGCTCCCATGGCAGCTCAAGCCGTGCGCGGCCAGCGGCCAAGGGCACAGATGCACGCTGCCGTCCGCCGTTACTGTGCCCAGCCGGGAGGAGGCGCTGGCTGGACGCTTGGTACGCCGGCTGTCCCGGGACACGCCAGCATCTGCCAGGCTCAGGGACGTGACCCTCGGTCGGGGCTGAGCACAGCTGGACAGAAAGTGCCCACGGATGCTGGAGGCCCCACGTGCCCTTGCCGCCAGCCCCCATGGGCGTTTGCGTGTCTGCGCACCCCAGGAGCGCAGAGCGGTTATGCGTGTGTGTCTGGGTTTGAAGACACGAAATGACAGGCATCACACTTGCAGAGTTGCGGTAACTCGGTGACAAGACTAACAGAAACGGACTCTTAGTATTAGAGTAACGATCAGTGAGATCTTTCTAGAAAGTTTGCCCACGAATGTATCAAGTTTAATTGTGGCGTCATTCCTGAGTCTAGTACAGAGACTGTTCAACCAAATGAATAAAAATTTAAAGGAAAAACTTAATTTTCTGAATTCAGACGACGCTTGAAAGTGGTCTTGTGTCCTGTGGGTGGGCCCCGGGGCTTCCTGTAAGGAGAGGCACAAAGATGCTCGGAGGAGGAAGAGGGGGCTTCCCAGCAGAGGCCAGGCGCCCCC